TGCAATATTCTGAGATAAAAAATAAATACATACATAAATACAAACAAACAAAAACCAATACATACCTATTTTCTACCACTGGCACCAGGGTTGAACATGCATAATTCTAACTATCTTTGCAATTTAAAAGGAAAACTATCTCCTGTCATAAAGACGCGAGAAGTTTGTTTTTCCTCTGGATAAAGGCAATTAACTAACACAAATAGTCGCCCCAATTGCCAGGTGAATCCAGGGTCCACGATGTGGGACAAACGGTACCGCCACGTCCTCTTCCTTCACGAGTTGTTATTGATCGCCCCGAAAACACGGAGCGGTCGCATCTGCTCGGCTGTATAACAGGGCGAGATTTCTTTCTCTGCGAGATTGCCCGTGAGGCGAGCCTTCGGGTTTGGTGCTTACTCAGCGATGACACTGTTGTTTTCTCTTCCACCCGTGTGGAGAGGTTTTCTGGGTTGGGAACAGGTTTTGTTTTGGATTGTATTTCCCCAACAATGCCTCTTGTATACTTAATGATAGTGAAAGATGGGCACCTTAAAAATGCTCTAGAATTCTAGAAGGCTTTTCCATGAATTATTTTTATTTAATCTCCACAAAATCAGGAGGTATTAAAACACTACTAAATTAGAAGGCATAATTATTTTACGTTGGTGGTTTCCTATTCAGGAAACTGAGGCACAGAGAGGTTAGGTGAGACCCACGGGAATCCCTCTGGCTGTTGGGAAAACCAGGGCCAAACCCGGGGCGTCTGGCTCCCGATCCAGGGCTTTCCGCTCGCCCCCACTGCAAGGGCTGCGGGGTGCCAACCAGCCGGCACGTGCCGATCCGCCCGCCGGGTCTAGCTCCACCTTCCGCCCGGTGGAGGCCTTACGGTGCCCCTCTGATGGCCTCGCGCCTCTTCCAGAAGTTTCTCTCTCTCTCCTGCTCACCTTCCATCCGCTCTGGCTCCAACCCGAGGAGGCAGTGAGTCGGCCATGCTCCCCAGGGCTTGGAGACGGCACGGACATGGGGCTGTGTCCTCATTTTCCGTCCGTCCCAGCCTGGAGGGCAGCGGCACCCAAAGCGGGAATCTGTGATTTTAAGACGCTGAGCATCTGCAGAGGCAAACACAAAATGGAAACAGACCAGGGCATAAAGCGTGTGAGAGGGAGGGCGGGCGGGAGATGCAGGCTGTCCCGGGGACTGGTGTGTGGTCACCTAGCCGAGGAGGGACCGTGCCCGGCTGTGGTGGCTGCGGCAGGGAGCCCAGCTTCCACCCCACGGCAGGAGGAAGCTCCCAGCACAACCGTCGCCCAGGACAGCGTCCTCTGGCATTCGGAAGGATGTCGCTGTCCTCGCGCTTTTGTGTGCGCCTGAGTCACCCAACACCCTGAGTGAGTGTGGGCGGGGCCGCGGGTCCGAGTTTTCGGGCCGCCCTCCCCGCGCAGGCGGTCTCCCCGCACCCTGGGAAACACTGGCTAGGCTGCTGCCACTGTGGGCGGCTGCCTGGGTTGGTTGGAGCTGCACCGGGTCACCCAGGGGGTCTTCCACACCCAGGTGTGTGCAGCTGTGCGACTCCCCTCCCTAGCTCTTCATCACGACCGCCTTACGCGGCTGGCCTTCCCTGAGAACCCCCACCCCCGGCCCTCAGAGACCAGGCTTCCCCCGCCCCGCCCTCCCTGCCCGCTGCAGCTGCCCTGCAGTTCTTGCTCCAGTGGCCACACAGCGAGAGGATTCCGAGAGGACGCCGTGAGCATGCCGCAACGCGCAGCTTTTCAGCCCAGCTGTGACCGGCTCTGTGGCCAGGCTCATGCGCCCCTTGGACACCATGGCCAGGTCCCAGGACAGAGCTCAGGTGGCCGCAGTTTGGCCCGTAGGGTGTAACGGCAGATGTGATTACCTGCATGTGCTTGTCCACGTGGGGTCCCACAGGCCTGGCCTGCGGTGGGAAGGGCCTGTGAAGGTCCCCGGGTTCGAGCCCTCCCTCTGCAAGTGGGAAACACGCAGCAGCCACGAGCTCAGGCAGCGCCGTGAAGACGGGACGCGCAGTCCACGTCTAGGGAGACTCGCGCTTTTGTGCACGTGTGTGGGTGCCCGGATGTGAGTGTGCGGTTACATGTGTGTGATTGAGTGTGAGCGTGTGTGAGTGTGCAGATGAGACTGAGTGTGCACATGTGAGAATGTGCATGTGTGCGTGTGAATACGTGTCTGTTTGCATGTGTGTGTGCACATGTGCACATGTGATTGTGTGAATGTGCGTATATATGGGGAACCACTGTGAGTGTGCATATGAGAGAGTGATGTGCATTTGTGAGAGTGTGTGTGTGTGTGAGCATGTGCCAGTTTATGTGTGGACTTGTATGTGCCTGTAAGCATATGTGTGCACATCCCATTGTGAGTGCATGTATGTGGGCATGTGAGTGTGATGCGAGTGTAAGCATGTCCTTAAATCTGGCCTTGCATGCCAGTGGCTTCCGCTTCTCCGGTCCTTGGACGCTGCGTCAGGCAGGTGCTGGGCTTTTGCGTGGCGGCCCTGCCGGGACAGTGAGTTCAGGCTCCTCGACGGCCGGCCCTGTGGCTGGACACGTGCCTGGCGGTGTGGGTCACAAAGGGCTAGAGCCTTCTCTTCCTGGTGGCTGCGGTGCGCGGCTGTTTTCTCCCCCGAGTGTTCACATGGAAAGTGCAAGCGTGGAAATTCCCTCTGGCCGTCATGCAGAGAAACACGCACACGTGATAACCGGAGGAAATGCCTCCCTGAGGCCGAGACACACGCTGCCTTGTGCCCGTGTGACAGGCAGCTGGACGGAAGGAGCCACCCGGCTAGACGCAGACTGTTAATGTCGAGGTTTTCCTTTCATCACTGGAGTGTGACATAAAGAGGAAGCATGCTAGAATGACAGTTTATGGGCGATTCCACATTACCACGGTGTCCTCCGCTGGTTAAGCGTCTCGGCTTTGCTCCTCTGCCGTGGGGTCTGTCGCTGGACGCTCCCCGTGGAACCGTGACCGGGCAGGGGTGGGTGGCCCGGGAAGAGCGGGGGCTTCGGGCTTGGACAAGCTGGGTTTAATCTTCCACGCGCAGCTGTGCGCCCTCCTGAACCTCAGTTTCCTTATCTGTATAATGGGAACAAAGAGCCTACTGCATAGGGGGTGGTGAAGATGACAGGAAGCAAGGGACCAATTCTGAGTTTTAAACTGTACTATTCTCCTTGATTTGACCTTCATATTTTATAGAAACATTCATACATTACAGTAGCGGGAGTTCTGAGAGATGATGTATAAAACATTGTAACACCGATTGTGATATAATACAATGCGGAATCTTGCATTTTTTAAATGTCCGCATTTACTTGAACTGTAACACTTTCTGTTTATTCTTTTGGTGCGAGTCGAATTTCATTTTCTTGAATATTATGTTCTAGCTTTAACATTTATTCTTTTCCTACTAGAAAATAATTTTTTTAAATGAGTCAGTCCTACACGGAGCTTTGATTGTCTATAGCAGGCATCCTCAAACTACCAGGCCACATGCCGCCCGCCTAGCACATTTATCCAGCTCGCCGGGTGTCTTTGCCGCCGCTGCCTGTCCTGCTTAGCAGCCGACTCGTCCCGGGCCCGCAGTGCGCGCTCTCCGACGGTCTGAGGGACAGTGAGCTGGGCCCCTTGTTTAAAAAGTTTGAGGACCCCTGGTGTATAGAGTGTCGTCTCCCGCGGAGATGAGTTGTGCCGCCCCCTCGGCTGGCTGGTTACTTCCAGCTTCTCTGCTGCGTTCTTGTCCTGGCATCTGGCGTTTAGTCGTTAGCCGTGCAAATGCAGCAGCTGATCACCTCGGAGATTAACCTACCGAGAATAAGGGAATCAAAGATGTAGCAACGAGGATGCGGGAGTTAGGCTAGTGGTCCCCTCTGGAAGAACTGCTTTGTGTTCTGAGCACAAGGGAATTAGACTGCCGAACCTCACAGCCAAGATGGAGCTTTGTTGACCTCCCTGAGAGTTTTCTCAGCAAAACCAACAAGATCTTCTTCATCTGGTGTTAAAAATTAGGGCTTCAGCTTTCAACACCAAGCAATGAAAGGCCATCAAAGGCACCCTGACCTAGAAAGTATCGAATATGGAATTTAAAAACTCACGTCACCTCTGCCATGATGGCTACCGGATTACAAAGTAAATCACCTGTGACCCTATCACCCCTCAAAACGTTTCCTTTTCTTCCCTTGGCCCTTTCTGGGTCTTGTCCGCTTTTATATGACCCCACGGAGTTGTCGTCTTTATGGAGATGGAGTTGTACAAGTTGCTGCTTTGACTTCACATTGTTATGTGGTTTGTTTTTTTTTAATGCTGACAAAGCACCTTCCCGGCGAGCATTTCCCAGCGTCCCTGTGATGTTACAGCCAGAGGCTCTGCAGTAGTTTACTGTCCCACTCTCCTTGGGGGTCCGGTTACGTGGTGTAGCATTTTAGGCGAGGACAAGCAGTGCCCATCTCTGTGCGCGCAGCCTCGCGCCCTCGGGCGCTGGGCCACGGGGCACGGGCGTCGCCGGCGGCGTTTGAACCGCATTGTCTCGCTGTGTGAAGGGTGCCTTTCTGAATCTGATGGACCACTTTGATTGGAGGCTGTCTCCCCTGCCAGTGCAGAGCGGGAGGGTGAGAGAACACCTTGTGCTTGACGGGGTCAGCTAGATTTGGGTCTGAAATGTGCTTTCTGCGTAGCCACGAGATGCGGCCCCGGGCTGCTGGGTACTCACCTTTCCTAAGAGATGCCATCTGCTCGGAGCAAGAATAGGCTGCGCCACACAGGTGCCCCCAGGGAGACGGCCGTGGCGGTGGAGGGCGGTGACGAAGCAGGCATAAGGGACTGCTCCCGGGCGCTCCCTCTGAAGCCACTGCCACCGCCAGAGGCGCAGGGAACAGAAGGGCCCTTTCTCCGTCCGGGCCCAGGCGGCTCAGGCCCCTCTGTGCTCCTGCCTGGGAGAGGCCCGGACCTCTGCGGTGGAGACCCAGAGCCCCGCACCGCCAGCGCCCACCATGTGCAGGGCCTTGGGGCTGGCCCTGCTGGCCCTGGTTGGCACCGTGGGCCCCAGCCAGGCCAGCGGCTTCACAGGTGAGGGGCCTGGGCTCGGCATGGGCGATTCTTGGGGAAGGGGCTCCCTGGGAGCAGGTCTTGCGAGGACGGTGCCCTGCCGAGGCCGGCGCAGGCGGGGACACATCTGCCTGGAGAGGTGGCACCTGCTCCTTGCTGCCCTGGCTTTCTCGTGAGCTCACTCAGGAGCAGGCTGCGGCGGCGGTGGGGTGGGAGCACCGTGCAAGCTTCCAGAAAGGAGGCTCCTGGCTCCCCCAGTGTGAATTGCCTGGGGGTCAGTGGGGGGAAATGCAGACTCCTAGTCAGCAGGTCTAGAACTCCGAGTTTCCTCGGGTGATGCAGACCCGGTGGGTCCTTGGACCCTGCTGAGAACAGCGAGCTCCTACGGACTCACAATGAAGGTCTGCTGGACCCTGGTGTACCCAAGTCGTCCCTTACAGATAAGGAAGGGGAGGCCAGCGTGGTTAGGGACTGGCCGTGGGCCACGCTCGCCGAGGGCCGGAGTCCCTGGGGAGTGGCGGGCCGGGCGGGGGACGCCTTGGTGAGCAGGGGAGCTGCCAAAACACCTGGGATTCCTGAAGCCCCAGCATCCAGGGAACTGCAAACTTACTAATCATTTTCTTCTGAAAATCTGACTTATTCAGTTGGAATTTAAAGAGATCCATCCTCTTTCTAAAATCAACTTCATTTTTGTATTAGTTTAAATTTTTTTTTTCACCCCAGAAGCAGGATTTTGCTTTGTGATTTTTAAACTTGCTTTTTCCTTCGGAATGGGTAATGTGTAAACCACACAGCTCAACGGGAATATTGGGAAGCTGGAGGGCTCTTGGGGGTACCTCGTGACCCCCTCATTGTGCCAGTGAGGAGCCAGGGCAGAACCTCAGCGATCCCACACCTGTCCGCTCCTGACCACGGAGCCCAGATGTCTGTGCTGAGTTCTCACTACGTACCTGCCGGGCACTGCCTTGTGGCGTGTGGGGCGTAGCTGCCGTTTTACAGATGACAGGGCCGGGGCACCGGGAGGGCACAGCACCCGCACGGAACCATGCAGCGGCGTCCGTGAGGCTAGCGTGCCCGCCGGCTGGCCCGCCCCAGGACCTTGCCAGTTCCAGACCGTGGCATTTTCCCACCCCTGGGCATAGGCTCCAGGTCCCGGCCCCTGCAGAGATTCGCTGAGTGGCCGGATCTGCTGAAGGCTTCTTCTCTGGGCTCTGCCAAGAAGCCAGGCTGGGATGGCGTGTGGCCTCGGATAGAGTGGAAAAAGCAAAACAAGACAGACCTCTCCCGAGCTCCACAGGAGATGAGTGTGTGTGTGTGTGTGTGTGTGTGTGTGTGTGTGTGCATGAGTGCAGGTGCGTGTGCGTGTGCATGTGGAGGGCCCGGCTGCGGATCAGCTGGCACTGTGTAATGATCAGCCGGGCCCGGTGGCTCTCTAGAGACCAGGAGCTGTAACCTCTGTTTACCTGGCTGGCGTCCCTTCTTAGGTTAAGATGAAAAACAACTCCTAGATCTACCTCTCTAAATTCACGCAGGGCGTCCTTGGGTGTCTGCTTGTCAGCATGGTCACTAAATAGGTGGCCGTTTACTGCCGTCCCTCATCCAAGTCACGTCTAAGCCCGTGGCCGAGCCTCCCTGGGCCCTGCAGCTGACTTCCCCGCCCCACCCTGTATGACCAGGCCCTCCTGCTCCTTTCCAGAGCTTGCCGTACCCGCCCTTGTGCTGAAGGTGGGCAGCAGTTTGTCCCCCTCCCCGGGGGCCCTGCCGAGCCCTGGGGTGACCGGGACACAGCCAGCCCCGGGCGGGGTTGCTGCTCAGGGCACTGTTGCTGTGGAGTGAGCCCGCTCTGGGGCAAGCATGGAGTCCCCACCGTCTCTGCAGCCTGTTACCTCCACCTGACCCCCAGGGTTGGTTCTGCCCGTTTATCCCTGGGGAAAAGGGACAAGCCCCGAGTCTCGCTTTCCGCACAGCGTGGGCTGCCGCGAGGTCCAGGCAGGGAGGCTTCAGCGGTGCCACCCGGTGTGGGGGTGAGGCAGCCGCGTGTGCACTGCCCCCCTGCACCTCTGCGTCCCGTCCAGAGTCCGTCTGGCCGCTCACCTAGTGAGACAGACCGATAACGCGAGCCCTACCTATCGCCCAGTATCGCCCGGAATGCAAACACTGCGTGTGCGAGCCATTCCTCCACCCTGCACTGAGGCCCAGCGTGCAGACAGCCCCTGCCAGGTGCTGGGTGGGGGGCGGGAGGGACGCCTTGTGGCCCCTGTGTTGGTGTGCTGGGGCTGCAGGGACAGGGGCTCATGGGCCCGGCGGCTCAAGCGGCAGAAACGTCTCGCAGCTCTGGAGGCTGAGACCCAGGCGGCGCTGGGCTGCTTCCGTCTGCAGCCGTGAGGGAGAATCTGTTCCGGGCTGGTGGCTTCTGGTGGTTGTCAGTGACCTTCAGCGTTCCTTGGCTGATGGAGGCGTCACCCCAGCCTCTGCCCTCCTCTCCCAGTGCACGTCTGTCTCCATAGTTCCCCTCTTTATGACGACGCCAGGCACGCCGCATGAGGGCCCACCCCAACGACCTCACTCTAACTCGATGCCTCTGTAGGACCCTGCCTCCAAATAAGGCCGCGTTCTGAGTTTCTGGGGTGGGGCTGGAATGTGATTCCATTTAAAGAAAGCAACAGGCTCCCCGGGGAGGTGGGAGCCCAGGCACTGCATGGTGCAGTCCACGGCAGGGGCCCATGCCAGTCCATGCCAGTCCACTGGCAATGCCGCGGAGCCGGGTCTCGAGAACGAGGGCTGACGTCTGTGCACAGGAGTCAGGCTCCCGCAGGAGCTGTGCGGGGACTGAGAAGGTGAACCCGACACTCATCCCATGGTGGGCGTGACAGTGCCCTTCTCCTCCCGATGACAGTGATGACAGCCGAGCTGACCGCCATAAACACCTACTTATTCACCTCCCACCTTGTTGAAACAAAAGCTGTCATTGTCATTGCCACCTGCCTGGACCGCATGGGCCTTCAGCAAGTGTCTGTGGTGGGAAGCATTGCGTGTTGCGTGTTCATTTCCCACGTGGGGACCTGAGGCCCCCGGACGCTGACCGGCGTGCTTGAGACTCCACGGCCTGTGGAATCGGAAAACTCAGAGTGGGAGAGAGGGAAGATAGGAGAGAGCAGGAGACGGGCTCCCGACTCCTGATTTCCACCCCGTGTTCCCTCCTTGGTCCACAGCGAGACCCCGGCTTCAGCAGGCATGTGCCGGCCCAGGGCGGCACCTCTCTCTCGCCGGTGAAAGAGGGTTTCTCAGCACGCAGGGCTACGCTCTACCCCTGTGGGTCACACCTTGCCGGTGCCCGGGGAGGCGGCGGCCGTGGGCAGGGCCGGGCGGGTGCAAGGAGAGGCCTGAGTGCAGGACATTCCGCTTCCCTCACTCCCTCTTGCAGCCGGACGCCTTTCAGGCCACCGCTCATACTGATTCGACCCTGGCGCCTTTCTCTGGCCGGTTCCTCAGTGCCCCTCGTTTCTTGCCTCCTCTTAGAAAAAGGCCTCTCCTTGCTGGGCTACCAGCTGTGCAGCCAGCGCGTGACCCGCAGCGTGCAGAGCGTGGAGGTGGTGCAGACGTCCCGCGTGACCTACGAGCCCTGCGGGGGCTGGGTCCCCTGGAGGCGCTGCCCCAAGACGGTTTACAGGACACAGTACGTGGTGGTGGAAGTCCCTGAGACCAGGAACGTGACCGACTGCTGCACGGGCTACGAGCAGCTGGGCCTCTACTGCGTCCTGCGTGAGTCCGGGTGTGTGGCGGGGCGGGGGCGGGCGGGGCAGGCCCCCCAGGGCTCCTGGTGGTGGTCACTGTGCATGCCCGTCGGTCCTGTGAGAGGTCTGTGAGAACTCTGGCTCCCAGCCCTGAGCCTGCGGGGGGTTGTCTAGAAGGCTCGTCCCCGGCCCCACCCCCAGATTCTTGACTCAGTGGGTCAGGGTGACCTCCAGGACTCAGCTTTCTAACAAGCTCCTGGTGACACTGATGCTGCTGGTCTGGGGCCCCACTCTGAGAACCTCCGTGGTTCTCAGACTTGATGCTGCTTCGAAGGTTGCTGGGCAGTTTTAAAACTGCGGATGCCTGGGTGCTGCCTTCAGAGGCCGGGGCAGAGTTGGTCTGAGGCCAAGCTCGGACATCGGGACTTTTTCATGGGCCCTGAGCTATTCTAACAAGCACCTGAGTTTGAGAACCAGCGTTGCAACCTCTTCTGCAGCTGCGGTCAGACTTTTCTTTTTAAAAACTGCAGCAAAACTCTTTTTCAACCCAAATCCTAATCTGAACCCCGATATGTGAAAGAGCTGGGGGGGCCCTGGGCCTGCCACATGCTTGCTGAGCACCCCCATGTCCTCTGGCTTCCTTGGTGCAGTTTGGCAGCTGCCGTGGTGTGGGACGCTGGGGGCTGGTTCCCACGGTGACCAGCGTGGTTACGCCAGGGGGGGCTCAGAGCTCCGTCTCCTGACGTGCGGGAGACTTCGCAGATGGCCCCTTCCAGCGTGCGTGTGGGGTGCGTGGGGTGGTGAGTGTTAATGTTGGGTCAACACCAGGTCGAAGGTGAGTTTCTGCACAGGCTTCTAGAAGGTCTGCCTCCCACCCCGCTGTACAGGGGAGGTGGGACAGGTGTGACTCCAATTAGGTGCACTCTGGGGTCGCTGCTAGACGCAGGGCTGCAGTCCCGGAGTGCAGAGAGCACCAGCTCCCCGGTGCCCCGAGGGGGTCCTGAGCCAGGACGCCAGCAGGCTGGGGCACAGACCCCAGAGCAGGGCCACAGGGTGTGGCATCTCGGGTCAGTGCAGGCCTGCAGAGGCTGCGTTGGCTGGGCGCCCTGTCTGTCCTGAGCGTGCCCTCCCCCAGACCTCAGTGGGGCCTCACAGAGGACGGGGCCAGCTGACGTCTGGTGCAGGGGGACAGGCACAGAGCGCCTGGCGGTTCCGGGTTGAGCAGGTATCAGGCCTGACCTTAGGCGTGTTAAAAGGACACCACCATCACAAACGCCACCAACAGAAACGAGGCAGGGTCAGCTGACCGCAGGTGCAGTGGCGGTTCTGTATTCCGGTGGGTTCTCCCCTGGGCCCCTGGCAGGGAGAGGCTGTGCCCTGGCCGTCCTGCCTAGGTGCAGGGTGTCACCAAGGAGACCCTTTCTGTCCCGGAACCCGCAGCGCTCTCCCCTTCCCTGTCTCCTGGAGCCACGCACAGAGGGGCCCGCTGAGCTGCATTGCTGCTGTCTCAGCCCTGGGAGCAGCCTCCCTCCCTGGGGGTGGTGGTGGGGAGCCCTTAGGACCCCAGGTGCTGGGCCCACCTTGGTTAACGAGCAGGTGGGCTTTGCAGTCGGGTCTGTCGGTGGAAGGCCAGAGTCTCCTGCCCCATCCCGTCTTACCTATGAGGGTCACGCTGCTTCTACCTGTTGGCTGTTGCTGGGACCAGTGAGGTCACGTGGCCAAGGTGGGCTGGGGAAGGAGGCCTTGGGGGAGACTGATTGGTGCCACCTCTGCCCCCAGCTCTGCCAGCCACACCAGCGGCCCACAGGACAGCCACTTTCCCTAAGAGAGGCTGCCCTGCAGTGATAACAGTTAATTTTCCTGGGGGAGGATGGGGCTAAGGCCTCTTCCCTACTACCTGTCTCTCAAGGAACCTGCCACCAGGCAATGCCGCTGGGGGATCAGCCCCACCTGTGGAGCTTTGGCGCCTTTGATTAGGGCGTCCCAGGGCGCGAGGAGTCCCGAGGGCGGGGCGGGGGGGGGGCTACTCAGAGCTGCAGGGAGAGATGAGGGTGGGGCCAGGTTGGGGTGCTGGGAGTGAGGGGACATGTGTGAGCCCTAGGGGCCCCTCGGGACTTAGAAGGGTCAACAGCAGTTGGGGGAAGGCAGACAGGAACCCCGAGGAAAGAGGAAGGAAGAGAAGAGCTGGACCGGGGACTCTTCGATCCCTCGGGCACCCAAGGGTCCCGGCTCTGCAGACGGGCACTGGCTGGGACAGGCAGCACCTCCACCACGGCGAGGCCAGGATGGGGGCAGGTTCTCTGACCTCCAGGCAGACTGATTTGGTTTACCAGGCTGCACGTGGGCATGGGGGAGTTTGTGGCATTTGAGGACGGTGGCTGTGGCAACGGTGGGAGGTGGAACATTTCAGGGCACTGAGGACCTCAGGAAGGTCCCTGCCGTGCCAGGGCCGGGCTTGGCTCTGTGGCTGCTGCCGGGGCCCCGGTGAACAGTGTAGAGATCTCTACCAGTGTCACTGTGCAATGAAGAGCGCTCCAGACCACGATCTCAGGCTGAAGGGAGAGGAGAGACCCTTTTCCTTTCAAAGAGCTCCTGCACCTCTCCAAGCCTCCGTATTCATTGCCGAGAAAGGCATGCAAGATCGAAGCAAAGGACAGAGAGAGGGAGAATGTTTGGAAAGAACATATAGATAAAATCTCTGGTGCCGTAAACACATTATTCTAAAGGAATCTAGTTAGTGATATGCAACATATCCATATTGATCTTGGGATTCCCTGTGACTTCTTAAGGCTATCAAGAAAAGGGCCGGGAGGGACATCAGCCACGCCCCTGCATTCCAAAGCCTGCTGTGTGCAGCTGGCTGGTAAGCTCTCATGTCCCAAGTCCTGTTTGCAGGACTGCCAGATTTCCTCCTTTCTCACGGTCCTTTTCCCAGGCCTTTGTGCCTTTTCTAATATCCTCTACAAACCGCGTGACCCCCGGGGGCAGCTGTGGCTCCTGCCAACGCGAGGGCCGGCCGTGAGCGCCTCTCTCCTCCCAACTCTGCGGTCAGAGACATCTCGTCGGTGGCCAGGAAGTGCCCGTGGAGGGTGGGTATTTACACCCCGGGTATTGGCAGCCCCGGCTCGTCCAGCCCTGCTCGGCTCTTCCCATCAGAGCCTGAGTGTTTCGTGGAAACGTACCGGGAGACGGCTTGTGACGAGCTGGCTCCGTGGAGAAGCAAGAGGTGGGACGGTCTCAGCGGGTGATCGGCTAAGAACCAATGGAGCGGGGACCGACGTTGGGCACGGCGGACGTCGGGCACGGCCTGGGAATCGGGCAGGAGAGAAGGCAGAGGTGAGGCTGCCTCTAGCGGGTGACGGGCACCTCTGCCACCAGGCGGGCTGGGACTCAGAGTCTCAGCGCCGGCAGCAGAAGACACCAGGCCCTTCCTTCCTTCCTCCTCCACTCAGCCGGCTTCCCAAGAAAGGAGAGAAGCGCGAACACGCACCTGACATCACTTTCAGTCTAAGGGACCTTTTCAACTTTCTACATCCAGCATTCGGAATGCAGTGAAAAGTCATACGTTAAGTTTCTTTTTTTTTTTTTTTTTTTAATACGGTGACAAAAATGAGCTCACAAGCCCTACAAAAAATTCGGAAACGCAGAGAAGAACATGGAGCAGTTACCCCAAAGCCTGGCACCCACGGAAAACCACTGTCTTTATCCAGGGCAGGTGTTTTGTGGAGGAGGGTCACTTTGTTCAGGACTTTCTGTCGTATGGTATTTCCACGTAGCAATTTAACCAGAACATCTCTCACGTCAGTAAATATCACCCCACTGCATGCCTTAGTGGCCACGCGGCCCTGCGTCACATGGATGTACCAGCTTTTATTAAGCAGCCTCTTGCCACTTAACATGTAGTTGTTTCTAATTTTTCATTATCGTAAATAATGCAGTGATGAACAGTCACGGCACAAACACTGCTATGCACACGCTGCACAAGTTGGATTGCAGGCTCAGGACAGATTCTGAGAACCGGGGCGGAGACTCCGAGCCGATGTCCCGACTCCAGTGACAGTTCTGGCTCTGCACGGTCTCCCCACGGTGCCAACTCCTTGGCAGCTCTGCCTCGGCGGGCAAGCCCAGGACCCCACTGGGCCAGGAGACTCCCCTGGACTTGCCGTCCCCATAGGCTGATGAGCAGAGCCCTCGGTGTGAACTTCCTGTCCCGGCCAGGCGGAGGGACGCTGAGCAGAGGAGGGGGTGGGAACGACAGCTCCCAGCCCGGGATGGCTCGGCCAACAGAAGTCTCCATTGTTGTCTCACTGAACCAGGACCAACCGGGTTGCCAAGCGCTGGGCAGCTCCGTTTCACTTTCGGATGGAGCCGGGGAAGGAGGAGGAGGCTTGTGACTTTCTACAAAGTTGGAACCGTTGACAGTCCCCTCAGGGCGCCAGTCGGCTGCCAGCTCCGCAGCACGAGGGGGTTCCCAGCAGCCTCCACATTAAGACGAAGAAGAACTTTAACTAGGAAACACGTCTGTTGGGATCAGGCAACCATATTTGGAAGCCAATATTTTTTTTGGAGGGGGGAGGTAGACTGTATTTTCTTCTTATTTAAATAAACCGTTTAGTTTAGAATAGTTCTGGATTTTCAGGAAGTTGCAAAGACAGTGCAGATGGTCCCCGTACCTGCTCCCTGCAGTTGCCCCCGAGGTTGGTGTCTCACATGTCTAGGGAGCGTTTGTCCGGCTAAGGGGCAACACTGGGCATCCCCGTTCATTAAACGCCACACTTGGTTGGGATGTCACTGCTCTTCCCCCCAACGTCTCTGTGGCCCTGGAGCCACCCCACGTGCAGGGCAGCCCGCTTAGCCTCCCGCCCGGGCGTGCTGCCTGGGAGACGCAGCAGGGACCTGCAGGCTCTTGGCAAGGCCCCGCAGGGCCTGGTGCGTCCCTCCTCGGCCGCACCGGATGTCCACTTTCAGGCGCCTGAGGCCACTCACTCCCTGCACGGCCATTCTGGGACCCGGAGACATGGGTACAGCCACCCTCGTGACGAGGACATGAAGACAAGGACAGCGTGGAAGAGAGAACGTTCCCGAGGGGAACGTCTACAGCACGACAGGGCGGCCGGTTCTCGGTGGAAGAACACTGGGGTGGGCTCTCCCTGAGTTCAGCGGTCTGTCTGGGCCCCGCTCTGCCTTGGCTGATGCCGCTGTCCTTGGTGACGTGTTCCCAACAGAAGCAGGGGCCACCACCCTCTTTCTTGGTGGTGCAGCGTTTTGCGGAGACCCAGGGGACCCAAGAGGACGGCCGTCCCTGGGCCTGCAGCTCCTTGTGGCTTCTGTTCCATGTGGCTGAGCCACGAGTCTCCCCAAGGACTCAGGAGTCTTCCTGCCTTTGTGGGGGTCCGGAGCCAGATTGTCCTCCTGCCTTGGTCGGTTTCTTGGGCCCTGGGGGCCTGCAGCTGCGTTCTCAGCATCCTGTGGGCCGTTCACGGCGAGGGAAACTGAGGCGCATGAGGGCATGGCCATGTTTGGGTCACACCCCAGGCTGCTGTGTGCACACCGGCAGCTGGCTGGGGTTGGGGGCTGCAGCGCTGGGTGAGCCTCCCCTGGACTCCGATGTTGGGGTCCCGCCTCCCCTCGCACCCCCTCTCTGCTGCTCTCAGCCTCTGGGAGCTCACGGCTTCTCAGCTTCCTTCCGTCCTGGAGGTGGACCTTTCCTGCCCGGAGCCCCCTCCGCCGTCTCGCCATGGGCGCACGGCACGCTCCCCTGGGATCTGCGCGTGCCGACCAGTGCTGGGCACACTCCGGTGTCTTCTGTCCCCTGGGGAGCGGTCTCCTCTCTCTGTGCCCTGACGGCTGCACCCTGGAGCCTCACACGATTCCGGCGCCTTCCAACAGCTCGAAACGTCTTCTTGCTCAGGAGCCCCCACGGCCTCCCCAGCAGCCCCTTGTCTCCATGGTGACTCGGCCACCAAGCCGCCTGCCCCTCCTGTCCTCTCCTCCCTCGGGAGCTCCCTGTGTTCACGCAGAGCACGCCGTGCGGGCCCTGGAGTCGTGTGTCCAGCAGCGGGGGCTGACCGCGGCTGCCCCCCCGGACCACGCTGCTGTGTACCTCCGTAGTGGCGTCTGGCAGACGTGTCAAACTTCACATCTGCTTGGCCACCAGCCTGCGTCCACCAAGGCGGTTCTTCCCGCAGCTTCCGCCCTCGGGATGGAGCCAGCAGGCGCCTGGCCTGGGCCTGGAGGCCTTTGGAAGCGTCTCTTTCTCCTCTGCCCGCCTCCCGTCCATCAGCACATCCTCTGGGTGCCTCCACCTACCCACGAGAGTCTGCACATCTCACTGCCTGCACCGCCACCCTGTCCAGCCTCACCACCTCTCGCCTAGATTGTCACCAGAGGTCCCCAGCGGGGCCCCCACGGGCTGTTTGCAGCCTTCAGAGTAGGCCATGAACATGCAAGTCAGACTGGCACTGACCCTGTGCTCCCGGGCAGGACGGCAGGGGGAAGGCAGACGGCAGAGTGCGGCGAGGGGGGTTCCACGGCGTCGGCTGCGGGTCCCCCGGCTCTGCACGTGGGGCCGGGCAGCTCCAGCCCCGGCGGCAACCTGAAGGGCCTGGTAGACAGGACACGGAGCTGGTCAGAGCGATCAGAGGGTCTCCGGTGCACCACAGTGTCCCTGTCGCCGCTGGGCGGCTCCAAGCCTCCAGGGCCCACCTCACACACAGGAAGGGGCTCTCTGTGGCCCAGACCTACCTGCCCCCACTGCGCCCCGCCAGGCCCGCAGGCTCCTCTCTCTCCATACTCTCGCCTCCCGGGGTCAGGGCAGGTGTCTGCAGGGCTGCTTGAGTTCCCCCCACCTTGGCAGGTGCACCTCTCTGGGGGGGGGTCCCTGACCGCCACCTGCCCCGCCCCAGTGAGCCCCCCAGGCTGTCGCTGTCTGGCCTGCTGCAGGTCCACCTGCATACCTGTCCCCACCAGAATGTAAGCTTCCTGCAGGCAGAAACTTTGTCTTTGGCTCACTGCTGGGTCCAACAACTGTCGAGTGAGCGAATGAGCTGTCAGGACTGGAAGCAGCAAGGGCACCTCTACGGGCCAGGTGGAGCTCTTGCACCTGGGCTCCTGAGGCCCAGCAGGAAAGGAGACACCCAGGGCATCAGCTGAAACTGCCCTGCGGAAAGGACAGTCAGATGAGATTAGACCCAAAGCCAGCGGCCCTGTGGCGGGACGGGCGGCTGCCCAGGCCTGGAGACGGCTGCCAGCGGGCTGTGCTGGCACCTGCAGGAACCGCAGGCTGAATGCAATGCCAGGAAGCGCCAGGACGCAGTGCCTGCACGCTCGTTGGTTTTGTTTCATTTCGTTTTGTGTTTTAATTGCCAGCATCATTAATTGTGCCGTTTCCCCCTCAGCCCTGAATCGGTCCGGGGAGTTCGCATCGAGACCCGGGGCCTGCCCCACGGCGGGGCCTGAGCCGCCCAGCTCCCCGTGCAGCCTGGACACCGACTGCCCCGGACTTCAGAAATGCTGCCCCCGGCCAGGGGGGCGCCGCTGCCTGGTCCCCACGCCCCCAGGTAGGGCTGCAGCAGAGGAGGCCCCCACTCAGCTGTGGTCTGGGGGAGGTGGGAGGAGGGGTTTCTAGGGCTGGATGTCGCTGGGGTCCCCAGGGGGTGTGAGGAGCAGTCTGCTCTTGGCAATGTCGCTGTCAAAGTCTGGCCCCTGACGTCTGGGGGGGAAGAGCTGACAGCTGACATTCCTGGTGGAGCAGAACCCTGAACTGCCCGTTTGCTGGGGAACCCCAGGAGCTCCCAGTGGGGTGGTCGGGGGTGACATGTCGGCAGGGGGAGGGTGAGGCTAGGGGTCCACGGGGGACTGACCAGCCCCCCTGGCAGGTGTGGCCCGGCCTGCATGCCTCCTACACGGTCTGGAAAGTTCTCTCTAGGCCGGGGGCTGCACCCGGCTAGCCTATATATATGTGTGTGTTTATGTATCATATATAATATTATCATAGCTTTGGTATAATATATAGCAATAAAGTAATAATATAAATAATATCAAGTATCATTATAATACTTACGTTAGCTATACTATTAAACTATAGTTTACAGTATATGTTATATATAATAATATAGCATGTAGTATATGTAGTATTATATGCACCATATTATTATAGTATTTGACATTTATAGTATAAATAAAGTCATGGTATAGTATAAAACAATTTTATGCATCAATATAGCATTACACGGTAATGAGCATTATGGGATATATCTACATCCTGGGTATATCTCTTCAAGGGAAGGCCCGCCGCTGTGGGCCCCAGGCCTTTTGACCCTGCCCAGCCCACCTCTGGACTAGAAGTGGGGACGCCTCCCTGCCACTGCTGCAGGGAGGTGGATGCAGGATGGGGCCTCCCATCCCCTGCTCCCACCCCAGTGGACTCCGGCGGCCCTGCCCTGTCCCAGCCCTAACTCACTGGCCTTTGTCCTGGTGCAGCTCTAGGGAGGAACTCGGGGAGCTTCTGGTACAATGTCACCGTGCTGGTGAAAATGGACTTCAAGGACCTGGAGCAAGTGGACCCCGGGCTCCTGAACCACATGCGCCTCCTGTACTCCCTGGTAGGTGAGAAGGAAGGGGGGGGCTTCCCCCACGCTCCTCTCCAGGGCAGGTGGACCCAGGTGTGGGAGGAGGAAGGGAACTTGGGCTCGGGGATGGGGACGTTCCACAAGTGGCCTCAAAATGATTGACGGTGAACCAAATTTTAGTTCTTAAAAAATTTACCTTCAGAGAGGTGCAGTTTACATGCAATACGATGCACACAGCTGAAGGGCGCAGTGAGGTGAGCTTTGGTGCACACCCGCGAGGACTACCCACCCCTCCACGGTAGGGAACAAGGTCCCTAACCTCGTGATGGTCTTCACTTAGACGAAGGGTGTCCCAGCAAGACAGCCTGAGCCCCAGCTCTGCCCTCGCTAACCTCGCTCCCAGAGCCTGGACTTCAAGCTCCTGCTCTATGGAATTCCACACTGTTCTGCAAAGTGCTGAGATGGGACCCTGCAGACGGGGCTCTCTGCGGCGGCCCCGGGGGGCGGGGCAGCTCTGTGTGGCAGGTTCCTGCACCTGGAGGACGGTCAGCAGCTTCCCCGGCTGGACACACAGGGAGTCGGGAACATCCTCCCAGTCGTGACAACCAGAGAGGTCTCCAGACACGGCCCCCTGCCCCCTGGGGCGATGTCACCATGGCTGAGAACTGCTGAGGACACAGCTCACTCTTTCTGACTCCTCAGCAGCGACTTCCAACGAGGACATTGTCCCACGTTGGGTCACCACCAGTCTTGGGCTTCCCAGCATGGACAGGGCGGTGCACCCCCTTAGGTGGCCTTCCCTGGGTGGTGTGTGACCTCAGGGCTGGCTTGACAGCCACCTGTGCTCAGAAGGGCCCCGAGCTGGGTTTACTGCTCTGTTGTGCCTGGGAATGTTTAAAACTATCTGAACGAGGGCCCACGTTTTCCTTCTGCGCCTGTTGTAGCTGGTCCTGCCTGCTCTCCGGGTCTTGTGGGTGTGGCCCTCGTGTGCCTGGGTGTCACGGTGTCAGACCCAGACTGTTACTCTGAGTGGTCAGAGTAAGCCTGCCGTGGCAGGCCCCGCGTGAACGGTGCACACAGCAGACTGCTTGGGAGAGATTCTGCAGCCTCGCCTTTGCCCAAAAGCCTCCGTAACTACCCGGCTGGGGGTGACCTCTGCTTCCTCTTAGCTCGTTGAGGGGCTGCCCAGGTGGCCAGTAAGAACTGGGCTGTGGAGCCACAGTGCCTGGCCCTGGTGTACTCGGTCATCATCTGTGTGACCTTGGGCAAGTTACTTAACCTCTCTGTGCCTTGGATACCTCCTCCATCAGATAGAAATAATCATAATCCTCCCTGAGACAGGGGCTGTGAGTTTAAATACACGTAAAGAGCTTGACAAGGTTCCCGATGGGTGGGGGGAGTGAGAGGCTGCGCTTGCCGGTTCGTTAGACATTGCTGCGTGCCGCCGTGTCTCCTTGTGTGGGGCTTTTGTTTCTCCAGCCAGACTGGCACTGCCCATGAGAGCACCTGCCCGGCCCGGGTTTGGACAGGCAGGTGCCGGGCTCCCGGCTTGTTCCTGCTGCGGAACTCGGGGCTCTGACGGGGCTGGGCTGGTCCTCAGCTGGGCCCCCTCCTCCCCCGGGACAGGGACTCCAGCCCACCCCACACCTCCTCTGGGGCTCCCAGTGGGGCCTTGGGGGTTGCTGGCAAGTCTGTTTTGGTGACGTTGTTCTGGCTGTGCAGTCACCGATTTGCCTGGCCTCCCAACGGTTGAGCTTTCAAGATGTTAGGCTGAAATAAAAAGAATCTACATGAAACGAGAAAACAGATGATTTTTTAGACCATGGATTTTGGTCCCTAATTCTCTCTAGTTCTGTAATCAGAACTCTAGTTCTGATTCTCTCTGCCATTAGCTGCAAGAGCCCTGTGGTCGTGTCGAGGGTGGGAGACAGGGGTCTTGGGATGACTGCCGTGTGAGTGCCCTGGGCCCACCGGGACAAAGGACCTCTGACTGGGGGGTCTTAAAACAACAGACATCTATTCTCTCACGGTGCTGGGGGCCGGGAAGTCCAAAGTCGCGGTGTTGGCAGGTCGGTTCCTCCTGAGCGCCGGGAGTCCAGGCTCCTCCCGGTGGGCTGCATGTGGCGTCTTCCCATGTCAACACGCATCTTCCTCTGTGCATGGCTGTCTCTGCTTCCCAACGTCCCCTTTTTACAAGGACATCAGCCATATTGGGTTAGGGCCCCCGGTGGCCTTAGAGCCCACCTTAACTAATGACACCTACACTTGCAGTGACCCCATTTCCAAATAACGTCACATCCTGAGTTACCCGAGGTCAGGACTTCAACATATGAATTGTGTGCGTGTGTGTGCGTGTGTGTGCGCGCGCGTGTGTGCGTGTGCGTGTGTGTGTGTGTGTGTGTGTGTGTGTGTGTGTGTGGTGGGCGCAGTCCGGCCCATAACCACCGCTGTTGCAAAGGTGTTTATAATTCTGGTGTGCAGGACTTTCACTGGCACGATGGCAGGCGCACAAATACCATAGCGGTTCCGTTGTACGGAGCCAGACGGAGCCAGACGGAGCATGCACAGTTCATTTCAGCTTCTCCGGCCCTCGGCCTCCCGTCTGTCTGACGGGAAGGGGGGCCTCCACCGTGTGACCCTCTGACTCTGGTTTCACAGGTCACCAGTGCGCTGCAGCCGCTGGGCTCCACGGTCCACCACCTGCACTCGGCCGGCGGGGACACCTCCACCACCGTGTCACGGCTGCTGCTGGGCCTGCCGCGGCTGTTGCCCGTGGCCAAGGTCTCTGCCATGCTGGACGACGTCGTGAGGCGGGTGTATGAAGTGATCCGCGTCCAGGTGCAAGGTTGTGCTCCCCTCGTCGTCCTGCCATTGGGGGCGGCTTCCGGGAGGCCCCCACAGCCAGGCCAGTCCTGTTACCCCCAACGCAGGTTTCTGTCCCGGGGGGAGGAATGTTAGGTGTGTTAATCCCACAGGTGTGGGTGGTTTGACCCATGTCCAGGTCGTCCTGCAAACTCTGAGTCCCCAGCAAACTCCGAGTCCCCAGGCTCAGATTCCAGAACTTTCTTTGCACACATCCCTTCTCCTTGCTCCTTCCCACCTGCCTCCCCCAGGCAGGTACCAGGTCCGAATCCCAGAGCAACACACAGTAGCCTGTGTCTTCGGTTCTTTGGGTTCCTGAACTTCCCCCTCTGCCTCCTTCCCGCCTGGCCGGGACGCCCTGTGCCTGGGAGGCCCTTTCAGCAGGTTTGCTGGGAGCTGAACTTGCGTGTAACCCCTGGGGCTACATGCATGTGTGTGTGTGTGTGTGGGGGGTGCTCTTGGTGAAGCTTCTTGCCTGACTCTGAAGGTGGCGTATGGCAATGCCAGGGCTGGAGCCCGTGGCAGCTCTAGTGGTTGCAGGCATCTCCCCTCAGATCCACGGATGATCTAAACCCAGCTGTGTTGCTCTAGTGCCAATAAGCAAGTGCTCACCTTGTCATCCGTTCTGTCACTGTCCCCATGCCGGAGGTGGCAGGAGTGCATCTGTACGTGAGAAAGGGGGTCTGTTACTGGTGGCCAAGAGGGAGAACCCACGCCACAGGGAACGGGGGTGTCTCAGTGAGAGGCTGCTAGAAAGAACCGATTATAGGACGTGGGTTTTGACTGATTGGTTTGGGGGCTAAGGCAGTGGGATTCTGTTAGATTGGGTGCTGTCGGAAAGTGGGCGTGATTCTATGATTGGGCAGCTCAATAAATCTTCCCTATAGGGAGGGAGAAGTTGCAGGAAGATAAGCTATCTTTTTTTTTTTTTTTGGTGGGTTACAGTCTTTTTTTTTTTTAATTTCACCATATAATGCGGGAGTACAAATGTTAAGGTTACATATATTGCCTATGCCTCCCCTCCCCCCCATAAGCTATCATTGGTAAAGACCTAATAATGACTCATTTTGGCCAAGAGGAGAGGGCCGGTGTTTTGTGGGTGACACGTGAGCTCATTCCTGTCTTAGGTGACATCACGCAGTGGCCTTGTGTGCGGCTGGCCTCTGGCTGGGAGTGCCAGGCCCAGCCTCGGGACGCGGGGTCGGGGGAGGGGCTCTGGTCTCTTTGCACGGACATAGCCCGTGCACGTGATCCACCCTTGGGGCAGGATGTCTGGGCCCCTTTGTTGCACGCCCTGGCGGGGGCCGCTGCTGGGACGGAGTCGGAGCTCTAGGAGGCAGGGCTTCCGCGGGCCCCTCCCCGAGCACCGCCCAGCGCACTCCCTCGGCTCACGTGGGCGAAACCACGGCTGCCGCTGTGCTAAGTGCTCCTGCCTGCTCTCCTTTCGACAGACGTGAATGAATGCTTCTACGACGCGCTCAATGCCTGCTCTGCAGGAGAGCTGTGTGCAAACCTGGAGGGCTCGTACCGGTGCCTCCCTGCCCAGGAGTCTCCGACCTCGGTGGCATCCCAGGAGCCGGACCACACGAGTGACGGTAATGACTGGGCGCTCCGGATGACGAGGGGACGGCCTAAGGGACCTTTGCAAGGGGAGATGGTGCGTGGACCATCTCAGAGCGGTCCGCTCTTGCATTCAGCCTTCCATCTGGCCGTGCTTGTTTATGTGCCATTCCCCGTGCCGGACGCTGGCAACAGCACCGGGCGAGAGAGGAGAGCGTGGTCTCCGCCTGTGCGATTGATCGTTTAAATGCAGACGTTCCGGCGAGTGAAGGGGCGTGATTAATGCTTGCACTGGGACCACAGGGACAAGCCGGGACTGTCCTTGGCATTGAGTGGTCAACCTGGATGGCGTCAGAGAATGCTGGGTGTCAGGGGGACGCCGTGAAGGGAGTGCCCGGCTCTGGCCAAGTTGTCGGGGGGCAGGGGCACCAGGCGTGCACCCTGTTCTGGCCCCCGGGATGGGCTTCTGCCACCAAGGGGCTTCCAGTAAGAAAATACTGGATAATTTGCCAGGCAGGAAAGTGCTGTGAAGACGGTGAACAGAGTGCAGGGTCTGGGGTGCAGGCGGTGACGCAGGGAGGTGGGCTCAGGCAACATCTTGGAGACAGAACCTTTGGGACCTACTGATTGATTCGGTGAGGAAGAGGAAAGGAAAATCAGAAAGGATCCAGATGTCTTTTTATTTTGTAACATTTCATTGCCAACACTCAAGAATGCAGACGTCTTGACTGAGCGGTGAATAGACGGTGTCCCCCTGCAGGGGCGGGAAGACGGGGCTGTCACCACCGTCACTGTTGAGTGGCCGTGGGAGCTGAGACGGAGCTGGACGGGGTGGATGCCGGACGCTGCCCGAGCTGGACGCTGATGCGGAGCTGGGAGGCAGGGCCGGGCTGCGCCTGGGCATCAGGGTCATCCACACGGCGGGGGGTCAGGGGGAGCCCCTGAAAGTAGGGGCGTGGTTGAGAGGAGGGAAGAGGGCCTTGGCCTGCGTCAAGGGACCCCGGTAGTCAGAGGTCAGCACAGGGGGCGGGAACGCAGCAGCAAGGGCAGGACAGGAGGGCCCCGAGGTCCAGAGCGTGAGCTGTGTGGCCAGCTGGGGAGGGCCGTGCACGGGTGACAGGGTGCGGGCAGGTGGCTGTCGGCACTGTGGGGGCAGTGTGGCCCTTTGGAAGAGAGGTGGGGAAGGAACCGTAGGCATGGCTTAAGGGGCAGTTGGAGGAGAGAAAGAAGGGGCAGCAATGGGGAGTCTTATGGAGGTTTCACTGTGAAGAGCCTCAGAGAACAAGAGCCCAACCCAGAGTGGGTGTGGACTCCCAGGAGGGTCTTTCTAAAGACACCTGGCCCGAAAACGTATTTGTGCACTGACGCTGATGACGGAGAGATCCCGGCTGACTCCTGGCTCCTGGAGCCCACCTAGTGTGCAGCAGGTGCCCAGCCTGCAGGGCCGTGTGCAGGTGTCCAGGCTGCAGGTGCAGGCTGCTGGGTGGCAGGAAGCTGCACACGGCCTGGCTGCTGGGGTGTGCGCAGGAGATGGGCAGGTGGAATTTTCCACTTGAGGACAGGATGTCGACCTTGCGGGTGGGGTTGGGGTCCTGCTGCATTCATTCATCCACTCGCTCACGTCATGCAGCACTTTCAGTGAGTGCCTGGGATGTGCCAGCCACTGTCCTAGGTGGGACTCGACAGTGTCCAAGAGCCGTTGCTCCCGGGACTCACATTTCAGTGAGAACGGATGACAGAGACGTGGACAATTGGGAATCTGGAGAGGGTGGTCAGGATACAAAGGAAATGTCACAGGGAAGTGCAGGGCAGGGGGAGGGTGGCTGGAGTGCTGCCAGGTGGTAGGGCCAGGCCAGGTCCCGGGGACAGGGTGAGCGGGGCAGAGACCCTCGCAGAGGGGGCGAGTGGACGGGGGCTGCAGCACCAGCACTCATGGGAGAAGCAAGAGGGTGCTGGGATGAATGATGGCCCCAAAGACATCCGAGTCCTCATTCAGGACCCGTGACTGTGTTCCCCGACCTAGCAAAACGGACTCTGCAGAAGGGACTGAGCTGAGGGTCTCGAGATGGGGAGGTTGTCCCGGATAATCCGGGTGGCCCAATGTAAGGACCACAGAGGCCCTTGTAAGAGGAGGCGGGAGGGTCAGAGGCGAGGAGCGGAAGGAGGGTAGACGTGGAGGTCCAGGGGAGAAGGCGCAGCGCTGCGGCTTTGCAGGTGGCGGAGGGGCGGGAGCCCAGGGGTGCAGGTGGGTGCTGGAAGCAGGAGGAGGCGGGACAGGGACAGTCCCTGCAGGCTCCTGGGGGACGCAGCCCCGGCCCCGGCTTGACTGCAGAGAGTGTAGATCCGTGTTGCTAGAAGCCGAAGGAGCTTGTGGTCGTTTGTTGCAGCGGCCACCGTGAGTAGCGAGAGACCCAGTTCCGGGCCTCAGAGGCCGGGCTGGAGGAGGGGGCAGAGACAGGCGGGGCCGGCTGGGCCACAGCCTGCGGCCACGGGAGGCCACGGGGCGAGCAACTCCACTGCAGAGCCCTGTGGGCTCGTGTAAACAGACAGGAGAGCACAACGGACCGTAGCGATTTCCGTCTCCATCCCCCATGATTTCGAAATCGCCTCGCTGCAGCCTCCGCCGTCACTGTGGAGTTTCAGAGCGCTTCTCTACCAGATGATAAAAGCCAAAACCATGGCGCCGTCATCACTCCTCACAGAAGCCAGCCATGCCACATGCCATGGAATACCCAGCCTGTTGACATGCCTAATTCTCCCTCCACAGTCATTTATTCCAGCAGTTTGTTAGAGCCGGCGTGTAAACGGGGTCCCCGATTAGCCACGCCATCTTCCCGGCTATTTTCCTTTTTTAATCTGGAGGTTTCTCCTCCGTCTCTCGTTTTGCCTCTTGGAATCGTTGGGGAGTCTGGCTCCCGCCGCCCAGTGGGCTCCTGGGGCTGGGGTTGGTGACGGCGTCCCTGGGGTGTCAGTTACCACGGCCGTCTTCCCGTCACGGTGCCTGGACGCCCTGGAATCTGCGAGGGCGACGGTGCCCTGCACGGGGCGTGTCCAGGCGTGTCCAGTGCACAGGACAGAGCACACCGCCTCCCCTAGACACAGTCGTCAAAACCTCGGCACCCTGGATGGTGGCACAGCAACAGGCGGCCGGCCGTATGGCCCCTCCACCCTGTCCAGCCCGTCCTCGCCTGCCCCTTCCTGCCCCCAGGGCAGCTCTGGTGCCCGGGAAGCCCGGGACTCGCGGAGTTGGCTTCTGGACAGCCCCGGCTGGCTCTGTCGCCATTTACAGGGGGGAGGCGTGGGGCATCGATCCCAGTTTCCCTGAGGGATCTCGCTCCCGTGGCCGGCTGTGACCAGCTGTGGCCGCTGCCTCAAGAGCTCACCCTCACTGGCCGGATCCCCTCCCCTGCGTCGCCCCCCGCTCCCCGGCTTTCCCAGATAACGTACCTGCAGCAGACCCTCGTCTAGGTGCGCTCCGGCTGCTGGCTGGAGAACAGGCTGGGGGGCCGTGGCAGAGACACTAAATCCACCAGCTGGTTCCTGGGTGACAGACGTCCTCTGAGTTCCCGTGCAAGTGTGCCCAGCGGAGAGGCTGCGTTTCCCTCCTGCCCTCGCAAGTACGGAGGCCGCGCCCCCGGGCTGTAGCCACGAGACATGGCTGTAGCCACGAGACACAGCTGTAGCCACGAGACATGGCTGTAGCCACGAGACATGGCTGTAGCCATGCGCCCCGGTTGTAGCCAGGAGACACGGCAGTAGCCAGGAGACACAGCAGTAGCTGAGAGACAGGGCGGAGCATTCTGTGGGGCTGAGGGAAACTGCTCAGGTCAGGGACTCCAAGCCCTGCTGGGAATGTTCTGGGGACAGGAATGTGACGGCCGAGGCCCCGTGTGCCATCCGGACCAGGAGGTGGCCTGAGGACGAGTGAGCCCGGACTGTGGCAGGGAGGGACAGAGGCGGCCGCAGCCGCAGCTGAGGATCACAGACGTTCTCTGCGTGAGGGAGGCACCCGGGGGCTTTGGCCCCTGTCACTTGGGGTCGTCTGTTCTGACTGATTCTGGCTGACACGGGGCAGGGGTCCCTGGGAGCCGGCGGCACAGTGGGCCTGGGGGCAGACGGGGGCCTGCCCAAGCAGCAGGGCGTGGGCATTGGTGCCAACCGCAGCGGAGCGTTGGCAGCAGGGCCCACACTCAGGGAGCTGCCGTGTCCTTGTCAACCATCAGGAAACGGGACAGCCCTCCTTCCCACTTCACGGTGGCTGCCTTGCTTGGGGACAGGACTTCCACGGATGCGGAGCCTCCTCTCAAACACTTCGCCTGGACGGCGGACGCAGCGACTTATGTTTGGCCACTGAGCCTCTCGTTTGCCAATCTGGGATTAGCTGCATTACTTTAGCGACATTCTAGCAACGATGGAAGGATAAGTCGCCTCCTGTCCCGGAGTCCAGCAGTTTCAGCTGTCCCTTCTTCCCTCCCAGGCTTTTCCCTTGTGCAAACCCTGCTGTGCATGGAATTCTGTGTCCCCCTTTCTTAGCTCACCATTCTGGGACGCAACATATCCAAGAAGCAACCTGCCTTCACCAGTGTAATGCTAGGTGGTTGAGTAATAGTGATATTCTGAGCAATGATGCAATGCTCTGAGCTGTTTCTCTCGGGTGTGGGGGGCTGGGCATTTAGGCTGAACTTTAGCAGTCTAGAACTTGAACATAGTGACATGGTTATCGAGAACCATTAGATCCAGTTTGAATTAATTAATAATCTAATTTGCACGTTCCTTTCCCTTTAAAGGGACCCGACAGTGAGGACCCACCCCACCCTGGCTTGTAATATCACAGGTAGGAGGTGCCCAGCTCTTTACACGCGCTGAGCTCTGCTCTGTGCACTTCGTGGGTGTCGCCTCATTTAATTCTCAGAACAACTCCACCTGGCAGCTGGTCATCAATCTCATTTCTCAGAGGAGGAAACTGAGGCAAAGGAAGGGAACTTTCTTGCACAAGGTCCCAAAGCTGGTTCTGTGCAGACACCTACGGGCGCCA